AGGTTGGAAGTTAATGCCTCTTTACTTCCCATGAAGAGGTCAGAGCCAAGGTTGCAGAGCTTTCAGGTACCGTCTTCCACAGCAAGTATGTTAAAAACTCTGGCATGACCACCTGTCCTGCTTCATCCATAGAATCATAGAATAGTTTGGATTGGAACAGACCTTTAAAGGTCATCTAGTCCACCTCCTCCTGCAACAAGCAGGGACATCTTCAACTAGATCAGGTTGCTCAGAGCCCTGTCCAACCTGACCTTGAATGTTTCCAGGGATGGGGCATCTATCACCACTCTGGGCAACCTGTTCCAGTGTTTCAACACCCTCATTATAAAACATTTCTTCCCTATATTTAGTCCTAAATCTACCCTATTTTGTTTTAAAACCATTAATCCTTCTCCTATCACAACAGGCCCTGCTAAAAAGTTTGTCCCCATCTTTCTTATAAGCCCCTTTTAAGTATCAAAAGGCTGCAATAAGGTCTCTCTGGAGCCTTCTCTTCTCCAGGCTGAACAAACCCAACTCTCTCAGCCTGTCCTCATAGGAGAGGTGCTCCAGCCCTCTGATCACCTTTAAGGACCTCCTCTGGACTTGCTCCAAGAGGTCCATGTCTTTGCTGCGCTGAGGGCTCCAGAGCTGGACGCAGTACTCCAGGTGAGGTCTCACCAGAGCAGTGGGGCAGACTCACCTCCCTCAACCTACTGGCCATGCTTCTTTTGATGCAGCCCAGGATATGGTTGGCCTTCTGGGTTGTGAGCACACATTGTCAGCTCATGTCCAGCTTTTCATCCACCAGCACCCCAAGTCCTTCTCAGAAGTGCTGCTCTCAATCCCTTCATCCCCCAGTCTGTATTCATATCGGGGCTTGCCTCGACCCACGTGCAGGACTCTGCACTTGGCCTTGTTGAACCTCATGAGGTCATATGGGCCCACTTCTTGAGCTTGTCCAGGTCCCTCTGGATGGCACTGCATCAACCGCACCACTTAGCTTGGTGTCATCAGCAAACTTGCCAAGGGTGCACTTGATCCCACTATCTATGTCACTGATGAAGATATTGAACAGTACTGGTCCCAGTACGGACCCCTGAAGGACATCACTTGTCACCAATCTCCGTCTGGACATTGAGCCGTTGACCACTACCCTCTGGATGCGACCATCCAACCAATTCCTCCTCCACTGAACAGTCCACCCATCAAATCCATATCTCTCCAATTTAGAGAGAAGGATGTTGTGGAGAATTGTGTCAAAGGCTTTACAGAAGTCCAGATAGACTACATCTGTTCTTCTCTTGTCCACTGATGTAGTCACTCTGTCACAGAAGGCCCTTAGGTTGGTCAGGCAAGACTTGCCCTTGGTGAGGCCACGCTGGCTGTCTTGAATCAGCTCCCTGTCCTCCATGTGCCTTAGCATAGCTTCTAGGAGGATCTGTTCCATGATCTTCCCAGGCACAGAAGTAAGGGTGACAGGTCGGTAGTTCCTAGGGTCCTCCTTTCTACCCTTTTTTAAAATGGGTGCAATATTTCCTTTTTTCCAGTCACTAGGGTCTTCACCTGACTGCCATGACTTTTCAAATATCATGGAGAGTGGCTTGGCAACTACATCAGCCAATTCCCTCAGGACTCTGGGATGCATCTTGTCAGGTCCCATAGACTTCTGTGTGTTCCGGTTCCTCAGGTGGTGACAAACCCGATCTTCTTACAGTGGAAGGGACTTCGCTCCCCCAGTCCTTGCCTTGCGGTCCATCCACTCGAGAGGTATGGGGAGAGAGGTTGCCAGTGAAGACTGAGGCAAAAAAGTCATTGATTACCTCAGCATTGTCCTTGTCAATTGTTACCTATTTGCCAGTCTTGCTCATGGGGGAGCACGCTTTCTTTGACCTTCCTTTCCTGGCTGACATAGCTGTAGAAGCCCTTTGTATTATTCTTTGCATCCCCTGTCAAGTTCAGCTCCAGGTGTGCCTTCGCCTTCCCAATCCCATCCGTACACAGATGGGCAGTGCCCCTATACTCTTCCCAGGATACCTGTCCCTGCTTCCACTGCCTGTGCATTTCCTTCTTGCCATTTAGATTGACCAGCCGGTCTCGACTCAGCCATGCTGGTCTCTTGCTTTCCTTTCCTGATTTCTTACTCCTGGGGATGGAGAGCTCTTGTGCTCTAAGGAAAGTGTCCTTAAAGATCTGCTGGCTCTGTTCTGCTCCCTTGTCCCTGAGGGCAGTGTTCCAGGGGGTCCTATTGACTAACTCCTTGAACAGCTGCAATTTTGCTTTCCTAAATTCAGGGTCCTGACTTTGCTCTTCACCTGACCCATATCCCTCAGGACTGTGAACTCCACCAGTGCGTGATGACAGCAGCCCAGGCTGCCTCCAATCTTGACATCACCAATTAGCTCACTTTCACTAGTGACCAGCAGGTCCAGTATTTCATCCCCTCTGTTAGAGCTGTCTATTGCCTGCCTTAAGAAGTTATTCTCTCAATGCATTCCAGGAGTCTTCTGGACTGCCTACAGCTCACCATGCTACTTTTGCAGCAGATGTCAGGGTGGCTGAAGTCGCCCAGCAGGATGAGACCCTGCAAGTGCAATGCCTCCTGTAGCTGGAGTAAGAAGGCTTTGCCAGTAGGCTCCCCTTGATCGGGGAGCCTGTAGTAGACACCAACCACAAGGTTCCCTTTGTTGCCTCGGTCTCTTATTCTTACTCATAGGATTTCAACCTGCTCATGACTGTTCTTCAGACACAGCTCTTCACACTCTATCCATTTCTTGATGTAGAGGCCAACGCCTCTGCCCTTCCTTCCTCGCCTGTCCCTTCTGAACAGCCTGTAGCCATTGATAGCCACACTCCAGTCATGGGATTCATCCCAACAAGTTTCAGTAATAGCAACTAGGTGGTAGCTTTCTAGCAGCACAGTGGCTTCCGGCTCCTCCTGTTTGTTTTTCTTGCTGCATGCATTGGTGTAGAGGCACTCCAGCTGGGCTGTCAGCCGTGTCACCTTCTTAGAGGAACAGCCCTTAGTTCCTTTGAGGTATTTCACTGGTGTTTCCCTCTTGGCTCCTATTACCTCAGAAGCCCCTAGATCATCTCCATAAGACTTCAAAGTGTGCTGCAGTATAGTCAGCACGTCTCAGAGCTACAGGCTGAGGGCCCTCACTAGCACCCTGTGCCTCTAACCTTGGTGTGTCATCTCACAGCTTGTCATAGGCAAGCCTGGTATCATCCCTCTCCCCCTTCAAGCCTAGTTTAAAGTTCTGTCAATGAGCCCTGCTTACTTGTGAGCAAAGACCCTCTTGCCCCTTTCAGAAAGGTGAATGCCATCTGACGGCAGCAAGCCTGGACGTTGGTACATCCATGGATGTCTGTAAAGTATGGTACACAGTGGGCACGATCCAGAACAACGGAAATCATTTTCCTGTTTCAGGTGTGTCATGTCTGGAAGCCCTAGTAAATTTTGTTCAAAGTAGATCTACTAGAGGGATTTTCCCTGAGCAGCAGACTGGCAGCAGAGACCTCTTACCTACTCTGAGCAATCCCCTCTGCTTTGCATTTTCCAGTGTTTCTCAAATCAGAAACTCAGATTTGACATCCTAAATCAACCGAATCTGCATTTTCTGTCTATGCTTTGTTTCAAAGGAAGATTTCTGATCAGCTCTACCTAATGTCCCTGTTTTCCCTGTTGTATGCTGGCACCACTTCTCTGAAGGCACTGAATCCAGTGAATGCAATGAAGCTCTGTTGACTTCAACAGCTGAGGCCTGGAGACAAAATGTTTTCCACACAGAATGGGACCATACCTCATTATTTATCCTGTGTAATTTGAACAGCAAACACTCACAGTCACTATGAGCATATGCGTTTCTACAAAGCGCGCAGAGTTCCCTTTTACAGCTGGGACTCCAAGGGACAAAGTAACACATTCTTCTTTCAGCTCTGGTGGGCTGAATTTGTATCCTAATTTCATTCATGCATGGTCAATATTAAACCAGCAGAAAAGTCAGAACAGTCCATGATATTTGCTTAGGATGGTCCAGAAAGAAAAGGAAAGGTTTTAAGTCAGAAGTGAGAAAAAGAAGATTGATGTACTGTATGATCAGATCTGGGATATAAAAGTTACATGATGAAACCCTCCCATTTTCATTAGTTAAGGTACATATGCTTCTTTTGACAATATAGACCAATTGATCTCAAGATAGAAGAACAGGCAGGCATGGGGTGCTATTGGGCCCATTAACAAGACTTGTACTGAATTATGTAAATCATTTAAATGGATGAGATTCACCAGATGGTTTCCTTTGGGAGAACATCTGCATTACCTGCTTGCAGCTAAAATCTTCTCCATTACTTTCAGTTGTGGTACTCTTTTTTTTATTATTATAACTATTTATTTTTCCAGGAAAAGGGATTAATTCTTCCTGCTAGCTTAGTCCTAAGCAGTGCTGCCAACTGTGATGAGAATTTGGTTTCATAACATAGTGGACAAAAATGAGTTTACTGGTTCAAAAATTATTTCACAGATATGAGTCTTGATAATTAGGTGTGCATTACATTTACTATAGTGGCAAGAATCATTAGAATCAAAAAATACAGTTTGATATTACTTTTATGATACTGGTATTCAATAAACGGGTACTAGTTTTGCCACCATGAACTCTTCTAATTATAGCTGATAGAAAAAAATAGTCTTACTCAACAGAACAGAATGAAAAAGCCTCACTGGGAGCATTTTAGACAAAAAAGATGTTCTATTCAGACTGACATGGCTTGATGACATCATGTAGTGTTGAATACCTTGAATTTTTCTTCCAAAGGGGGAAAAAAAGGGTATTCATCGGATGAAGTAATATTCCAGGCAAGAAAACAGGCTGGAGTGTAACCAGCATGCACCATGCCAATATTGTGCTTTAGTTAAAGTTTCTCTTGGAATCATAATTTTCTGCTGGTCTTAAACAGCAGCAGATGATGATGCCACACATGGCAGTTCAGTTATGCTGGCCATTTAATTAGCGTGGCAGAACTAACCCTTATCTGTTCTCTCCCATTCTAAATGTGTCTGCTCTACTTGAAGTGAGAAAAAGTAAGCTCAGATCCTGGATTCCCTTACATAGGTACTTAAACAAGATAAAAAATAAATTATATTTGATTTAAACAAATAAATGCCTTTGTAGATCTTGGCCTTTATTTTCTAGCTAGCTGCACTCCTATTGTTTTCTTCTTCTTACAGTTACTTGTCATACAGATCATACCCACTTCCATTTCTGCATGCCTAAATATATTCTTCTGTGTAGGTTCATGAATAAAAAAATGCCAAAGTTTGTCCACAAAAAGGAGATGTTGATGATATTTTTACACAAGCTTTTTTTGTTTGTTTCATACAGTTAGATTTTGTAATAAAAGAAAAGAGAAACTATATATAGATTAAAGAAACCTACCCGGTTGCCTTCAAACTTTGAGCGATCGTTGTTTGACTTCGCTGTTTTTTCTGCAAGTTTCTTCTGCCTTTGAGGGCCTTTTCCAAAGAAAATGTAGTTGACAAAGGCGTATTCAAGTAAGGCCAAGAAGACAAATACAAAGCAGCCCATAAGATACATGTCAATGGCTTTAACATACGGAATTTTAGGCAAAGTCTCTCGCAGATGAGTGTTGATTGTTGTCATAGTCAGCACAGTTGTAATTCCTACACAAAGAAAGAAAAGAGCACATCTTACAACTCTAAGCAGATCATGCTTCAATTTTGTTTTCATTTTTTGGCAAATTTGCCTTGTTAGTGTGAAGAAGCTTAAAAATTTGTGTAAGATCTCTCTCAGGTGACATCACTGCAAAAGAAAGTAAAATTAAAGCTTGACGCATTATTATTCTGATACAACACTTCCTTCTTATGATCGAGGGAACAGCTAACAAGGGGGCCTGGCACCACTGCCATGAGTCAACATAGCTTCATGGAAGCCAGTGCAGCTATACCAAAGATCTCCTCCACAAAGACCAAATTGATCTGTGACAGGAAGGCAAATAGTCTGCCAAGCATTAAAAAATGTGCTCTTCCAGCACCGTGCTGCTCGACACGTCACAGAGAAATTTTTAAAATGTAACAAAACTAATTGGGAGTCTGGGCAGATAAAACTGTGTGCACATATTAAGGCAGAGCATTCATATAGATGGTGAAAGATTCCTCTCATGCAGTTTTAAATTTCTAAGACTTAAGCAGTTGGTTGAAGTTAGTCCTGTAGGCCCCCGCTGTAGTGAGTGGAGAGAGAGACAGGAACTTTTCTAGACCAGTTCATTCCATCTGTTTTAGACACCTATTTCAGGAAAGGACAGTATAGAAGAGGGATTTGAGATTACTAGTTTCGAGCGATAGTCTAACTTCTACATAGAAAGAAGTGAGGTGAGCAGTGAGAGGCAGACAGGCATGTGCATTTGTGGAAAGAAAAGCCAAGGAGGGTGAGCAGCATTTTTATTGTGATCGACTGGACACTAATAAAGTATCTAGAAAATCTATAAGGTATGTCAAACCTTCATTTATTTACCTAAGGATGGACGTAGCACCTGAAAATATATTACAGAGCACTGTTTTGAAAAGCTGGTAAGAAAAGCGAATTTATTGTTAGTCTGCTTGAATTCACAATAAACTGCAGGGTCTGTATCTCTGCTGGAAATTTTATGGGAATCGCAAATCACAGGTGGCTGAAAACAGAGATTTGTGGAATCAATCTACATTGGTAAAAGAAGCAAGCCATTCTAATAGGTTCCCTCCATTACTATTTTCTCTGATTCCATAATTATACCATCAGTTTGTAAGTAGTCACTAAAACGCAGGCAGAAAAAAATAAAGAACGAAAGAAAATTGCTGCTATATTATAAAGCACAGCTTCTTTTACCTGAAGAGACAGAAATAAAGACAATATAACTCAAAATCAAGCTGTGGGTGTGAGGTGTCACTACAGGGAACTGTAGTAGTAGCCTATGAGGTTCTGTAACAGATATTTTGTATATTTAGTAGGTCAGCATCATGCGGTTTTCAGTGCTTTTCCCCTAAACTGTGAAACAAGCATGTCAGATGTTTCATGGCTTGAAATACAGCAGAGACACACACAGCACAAACTTATTTAAAAATTTTATTGGGTATAACTTACCCATCTCTGCTGTAAAATAAGGAGTATAGCTGATGGATTATTTTTACCTAGAGAAACTTTGACAAAGTCTCTTGAAAACCTCCATGTGAGTACATGGAACGGGGGTGAGAAGGGTGGAGGACTGAAGCAAACACTATCATGTTTGCAGCCCAGGGGATTTCACTTGTGTGAATTAGCTTCTTTCCGTGTAGGATTACCTGCTGCTGCTTCCCATAAGGGATTCACAGAATCACTTAAAATCCAGTTGTTTCATGTATCAGAAATGCCACAGATTCCTTTTAACACATCTCACTAGCATCCCACAGATGCTTACCAAAGCGTAGGTCAACAGGGGTCGTAGAAGCCTGCCCAGTGAGGGTTATGATGCCCACATTTTTGATGCCTGTTCCCAAGCTGTAATTTAGATTCCAGAGATAAGACCTTAAACACCACATGGGGAGAATTTGGTGGCTCTCCTGGTGATCGAGAAGATTAAACACACTGAATAGAAAGGTGTCTATCACTACCCAAAAGGAAATACATCCTCTGGGAGATCCTGACACCCAGCAGGCAAAGGCCCTTCTGAAGATCAGTAATTAATTTTAAAGCACAACTGGAGAAGAAGCAGCTGACGCTCACCTATCGTACAAAAATAGGATAATCTTGTGAATACAGCCCTTTCCAAGAGTGAGAACTCTTGAGATTATTTTTCTGCTCACTTAAAAGACTAAATTTAGGAACTTCTAGGACTAACTAGCAAAAACTCAGTTTTGAACATAATGATGATTTTGAATATTTCTCTTGAGATCAGCCCTATATCAGCCTCTATCTGCAGTGTCCATAGCACGTAGTCTCTGGAATGAGCTGGCCTTTGCTGCATGCCTGGGTTTCTCTGTTGAGGGAACTACTTGTTTCAGTACAGGCTGGACCACAGACAGCATGTGCACTGAGGGATCAGGGACAGGAGCGAGATATGAAAGTGAACGATCTAAAATCAAGTTCTTTCAGAGAACACAGCCTTTCTGAAGGGGTAGAGCAAAAGTTTGTCACCATGTCCCTCAGGACTGCACAGGGAATTCTTTCTCTAACAAATACCTAAGCCAGCAGGCCTTATCCTCCTCTGTACTGCGCTTTTCAGAGCCAGTTACGTATGTCCAAAAATGCCATATTGCCTTCCAACTTTGGTACCATTCACACCAGGTTCAGTCTCATAAGAGGTATGTGCTGTTGGGAAGCATAGGGTTGAAGACAGGATTTGGGATGAGATGAGAGGCAGCAGTAGTCATAAAGATTTATGGATCCACTTAATTCTCCTTGTCTATAGCTATCCCTGAGTACGCTGCTAAATAGATGAAATACTTCCTGTGAGATATTTTGAAGCTACCTTACTTTATCTAAAGGATCTGAAAAGGCCTTGGACAGGGATCACCAACCTGTGCCAAATCTATGTTTTTTCTGCCATGTGGTAAATGGCACTTTAAGCTATCATAAAAATGCCCCTGGCACACCATGCATTCTGAGGGTTAGGCGGGATGTCATGGTCCGTAGCCGATATGGCCCTGTACTCAGAACTAGCACACGGTTCCTGAGGTCTGTTCCTGCCACTGTCAGTTAAAGCAGCCAGGACCTCAGGTGAAGGCTTGGAGCCACACTTGTCTTCCCACAATGAGCTGGACTAAAAGCCCACGCTCAAGCCCTTGGAGTATGATTCTGGAGCTGGTCCCCTCGCTGAAGCTACTGACAACAACATTAACTTGATGAGAACAAGGCTGGGACCCGTATGAGCAGCTCATGTCAGAGTTAGTGGCAGCTACATTCTTGCATGCAGGGGAGCACTCATCACTTCTGAGGCAATACTGGATGACATGATTTTGACGTAAATGATTTTGGAATATCAAAACATTGACATCACATTGCAGTCTTTAACAACCTCCGAAGGCTACATTCAGTCTGACATTTTAATGTCCCACTCATTCTCAGCACATACCAAGGGCAACTCTTGCTGCTGATGCATCATAATTGATCCAGAATGACACCCATGATAAAATGGTAATCAGTATGGAGGGCATGTAGGTTTGAAGAATAAAGTATCCAATATTTCTCTTCAACCTGAAGCTCAGTGAGAGTCTTGGGTAGGCACCTGAGGAAAGGGAGGGGAAAACAGTGTTATTTATACTGAAGAAAAGACACTTGCAGATACTTGTCTTCAGTTTCCGTAGAAACTAAAGCATGCACATTTCATGGGGTAGTATGACATCTGCAGAACAGTAGGGAAAACGCCTTCATTATATTACTGGTTGGTATTAAAAGAAACCTTGCAGTGAATATAGTGATATCCAAGCAATTTGTATTTGGGAAGAAAAGAGAGAGTAACTTATTCTAGATTACTGAACAGATGGGTTAGCACCAGTCAGTTTTGAAAAACAGATGCTTAGGTCTCCATGCAAAATGCTTATCCAAATACACAGTTTTATGCATAGTATTTATATTGAGAGGATTAGTAACCTGCATAGTTTTATATTTATGTGGAAGAGTTGTTCATAAGATGGAACTCCTTAATTATATCCGAACTATGAGAAACATGCTACCTGTGGTGTCAAAAATAAATTGTAATGAATTCCAGTGAGGAAAAGCCTTCAGAACAGATTCAAAGACCTCTAACATCAATTACAGCTAGACAGAATTTTTCTTCCAAAAATATTGCAAGCAAAAAAAGATGATTTTATATGTGTGTGTATATATACAGGATTCATGAATTATTACAATTGGAGGAAATAATTTAATGAAAAAAATTAATAAGCTCTATGTCAATGTTTCAAACAAAACATTTTATTAAACTTCAAACTGGTATATTTCAAAATTGGTGTTAATCTTATTGAATATATTTTATATATTCAGAAATCTGAAACAGTTGAAAAATCATGACTTCTTTCACCAAATCCAAGGAGGATTAAATCTGAGTACAGCTGTTCAAGAAAAAGGTAGTCATTCACACAACATTAGTTCCGTGACTTCAGTGTTTGCATTATTAGTCCTAGATATGATACTTCTAAAAGCTCTAATTATAGTCAACAACTTAAAAGAACATTTCTGAACATACTGAGGGTCCAACTAGATATTAGATCCCATCCCACCCATTCTAATGCAAATATGTGCAAGATATGATATAAAAGATTGTATCTAGAAACAAAGAAAAAATTACAAACTTCCCTTTAAATTATGTTCATATGTTTGCATTTGAGCATAAGAAATTATATTTGCCCATATACGCAAGAATGATGGATTTCCTGAGAAAGAAGGTGAAAGAAGGAATGGAAAACTGCAGATTTCTCATCACCTTCCTGATAGTTAGGTATACTGAGTCATAGGACAGAAAAAATGCTACACTGTTTCCAGGCAGCAGAAGCATCCAGGAAGTATCAAACTTTATGCAACTATCCTTAACTGTTCTATCAAACCATCTCAAAAGAACTACCACCAGAAAAAAGAAGTATCTGGTAGGTGTATTTGATTGCTGTGATAACTTCAGCCAGTAATATTTTTGCAGGATGAAAAGCCTTCTAGCTTCACCAATAGAAGAATATTGGTAGAATCAGAAGAATTTATTTCATCATGAAAATCAGACCAAGGTTTTCTGTTGTCTAAAGCAGTCAACATATTTTCAGCAAAGAATCATTTAGACTTTAGCTTGCTTAACATCTTTGTTTTCCAATGACCAATGTTTAATTTCAAAAGACAAATTCTCTCTTTGAAACCATGCCTGCTTTTTTGCTAACAAAGCTTAACTTTTTCATTGAGCTTCTTACAAAATGGTTTCCATGGCTTTGTGTCTGCAGAATATGTAAATAAAACAGGAACATACCCTGCCATCATGAAATACATTAAAAACATTGCAGGCCTGATCACCTTTCTGCAGTAAGAGCAGTGCATCAGACAGAAATCTTCACAAAGCTCTGCTGAGGAAAATTATTTCATATAATATACCACCCACATAAAGGATTCTCTATAAATGTCTTCCTTTCCAAAAGTTCTGTCAAGGTCTGGGTGTCTGTGGAATATCATTGATAGAGGTGATGACTGGGAAATCTCCCATAAAATACTGATTCTTTGATAAATAAACTGAAGGATTCATTCAAAAAGGTTCAGTGGAACCGTATCACTGAATCGAAATCTCTTCTTGGGCTGCTCCAGTGCCAAGAACCCTGGATACACTGGGGAACCTCAGAAAAAGAAGAAAGCGAGCACTTTGCTATTGATAAAATGGTGTGGATGGATGAGGTGTGTGTTAACAGCGGAGAGAAGTAACGTGTCACGTATGTCAGTACTGTTCAGTAATGAAATCCTGAACTGAGGAACAGTATAATAGAGCGAACTTTAGACATTTATCTTGAATGCTTCACCTGTGGCCTACATCCATTACCTCATCACCGTCTCCATCTAATGGGATAAGGTAATTACCGAAACTATTAGGACGGGGCCTTAAAGGTGGACTCTCCAGACAGATTGTCTCAAGGCCAGCGGTGTTAACAGAAAGTTGTTTCAAGCACCAGGTTCTTTGCCCTGAAGCTGGAACCCTAAGAACCATACCTAGGGCCATGGCTGCCAGTGCTGGCTGTCTTCCTCCTCTAGAGTTCAAGTTGGACTGTAACAGAGAGATTCAGTTGTGAATCTGAAGGTGCACTGTTCCTTTTGAGATGCCCTATGACATCTCAGACACCAGCACGCAGCTGGTGGATATGACACAGCCCCTACATCTTTTCAATCAGCAGCTGGAGACTAAGGCAGCTGCCCTATGCCATCTCAAATAGAAGTTGATTAAGCAACTCATTTTAACTGCATACACACGAGCTAGGTGTCTAAGCTCCAATTACATTTACAGGAGTCAGTTCATCTAGTCAGTCTCATAAATGAAACCTAGAGAATTATCTGTCTCCTAAAATAGTCTCCTACTGGTGGACTGAATTTGTCTTCAGGCTCCACTGGCTGTATTGACTAGATTACGATCAACCAAGACACTTAGTTCACATGTAGACACTGAAATTATATCCACCTTAAATCAGAGCAAGATGAATCCCAGCCTTGCAAGTCTCCGGGCAGGATTTGGGGGTCTGTAGCTCCTGGGCCATCTAACCAAAAGTCTTGCTGACATCACGGCTACTTACTGGAGTTGACACATTGTTCAGTTTCACAAAGGTAAACAGAATGTAATCCTGTTTTGTGGTGTTTTTCCAAGCTCAAATTTTATTGGGACATCTGGATCTCAGGAAATTTCAGAATAATTTGGTCTTTGTATAGTTCATGTTGAAATTGAAACATGAACTGGTAGCCCTGTTTTTTCATTCTATGCAGCCAGATTTCTCCTTTAGGTAGCCCTCCCAGAGACTACAAAAGTTTGTATTACTTTCCCCTGTATTGCTTTTATGCCTTCACAGATGTTCTATTGGCCCTGCCTGCCACCTGCTATAATATCTCACCTCCAGCAAACAGACCACAGGAATCTGTGGGAAAAAAAAAAGTTAAAAGAAGGAACATTCGTTATTTCCCCTACTTATTTTCTTCTCTTTGTCCCAATGGCTAAAGCTCAGTGAAAAGGATGGGTCCTAACCTGCATGGAACAAAGATCGTAAGTCCAGATGTTTATTTATCTAAGAAGGAACCATCTTGTGTAATTTATTTAATAAAAACGGATTTCTTAGTGAGCTCAACAATTACATTGTTACTTGCCTGATTATGCTTGGATAATGATTTGTCAATTAAAGCTCAGTACATTTGGAGATTAATTACCAGGAAATTCTAGTTATTAACATTCCATCAAAATTTGTTCTTGCCTAAAGAACAGCGTTGCTGTTCAGGGACCAGATTTGTTACCCCTTCCTCCCATCTCATGTAACATGTTGACGCCTGAGGGCTAATTTAAATAGTACAGGAATAATTTGGCCTGAAGTATTTAAATCTAACAACAGTATTGAGAATTCAGGTATGAAAACAAATACTTAATCAATAACTGAGCTCAAAATATTCCTCTTTCATATATTTGGGCACTTGGTAAAAAGTAATGACTTGTTTCTGTTTCAATTTCATTAAAAGCTAGCAAGCTGAAACATCTAGCTCCAAGGCTAAATTAGTCTCTTGCTGTTTTATCCAAGTATGAACCAAGATAAAAGAGTTGGTCAGTTACAGAATTCTTATTTTAATCTGTTCTTCTGGGAAGGTTCTTTGGCTAATTGGAAATGTACTTTACAGATTGATCTTTCAGAATACAGCAAATAATTAATTTTCAGATCTTTTAAGACTACCCTCCTCTTACCAAGATGTTGCTAATCTGGCTCTGACTGCTGTGCATCTTGAAGCTTTTAGGTGGTGTTTTACATATCCCCATTCACAGAATCACAGAATGGTCAGGGTTGGAGGGACCTCTGGAGCTCATCTGGTCCAACCCCCCTGCCAGAGCAGGGTCACCTACAGCAGGTTGCACAGGACAGCGTCCAGGCGGGTTTTGAATGTCTCCAGAGTCAGAGACTCCACAACCTCTCTGGGCAGCCTGTTCCAGTGCTCTGCCACCCTCAAATTACAGAAGTTCCTCTTCATGTTAAGATGGAACTTCCTGTGTTCCAGTTTGTGCCCATACCTCTTGTCCTGTCACTGGGCACCACTGAAAAAAAGACTGTTTCTTCTTCAGAGCAATTTAAATACTCCTTTCTCTTCACCATGGATGAAGAGAACAACCTATTCTCTATGTCTTTGCAGATGCTTTCTAGACACATATGACTTTGTTTCCCACCAAGTGTTCTCTTTTTTTAAACTATATGATCATACCTGGCTCTCTGTCAACCTCATGTATTCCATTTTCTGGATTTCCTACTTGCTGATTTTCCCTAGACCCTCTTCTGTTGCTCCACAACTGTCTTGAAGAGTGCTACCCATGACCACAAATACACAGCTCAGGCCTTAGCAATGCAAGTCAGACTCCTTGTAGGATGTGGGGTTTGTTTCTTTTTTCCCCAAAAGCAACAAACCTTTTTTCCTGTTCAGTCTGAGACCAATAGCAACCCCCAGATTTCTACACACAGAAATGTGGCCTGACCTGGTATTCCCTCTCCTGAATTTGGACAGGAATTATTAGTTGTATAAATGTATTTTGCACTTGCCCATGCTCACTTTTATACTTTTTCCCAGACCCATCTTGCTCATTTGGCAAGACAATTTTTAACTCCAGCGCTATACTTCAACATGCAAGCAGTTCCTCCAGTATTCCTGCAGCCCTGCACAGCTTTATGTCATTATCTGTGGGGTTTTTCTCATGCTTACTGTTGCTTCTCAGTAGTAACTATGGGAACAGATTTTTCCATTTGCATAAGTTACACAAGATTATACAGCACCGTTCCTCATGGAGGATAGGAGAAATAACTACTCCAAAAGCTGTTTATGGCAAGACTCTGAAGTCTTCTTTTAGTTTTATGCAATCAAAGCACACTAGTACTGAAATCTCTGAAATGTTCACTGAGATACTATGCTCAAAGAACTAATATCTTCCCTTGAGACTTCAATAACCTAAAAGCCAAAAAAAAAAAGCATGCCTGACTTATTTTCCACAAAAATATAGAAACTGATCCTAATTACTAGAACCTTAAAAAAGTAGGGTCTTGAAAAGAAATTTGAAAGGATTATGCTGACTTTATCCATCAGATTCACTAGCATGCTTCAGATTTACAATTAAATATGTGGTTTTGAGAAACAAATGAGACATTTCCCCTGCATGGAAATACTTGCCACAAAATTTCATAATTAAACAAGCATTTTCATAATGTCCCATACCAAAATAATAGTAAATGCAGTAGCATGTCTTTATCAGTGGCAAAAATTATATGCTTCAGAAAATGGTACAAGAAACATGGAGTAATTTGTTCTCTGTGACTGCCTCATCCTACTCCCTAATGTCAAGCTGTCTTAAAACCCTGAAGCGTGAGACTTTTTTACTCCTTCCACAAGTGTTTTTGGAAAGAACTGTTATGAATCTGAACATTTGGTCAGTCATATAAATGTCTTCGCCTAGGTTTCATTCTCTCTCATCTTTGTCTCACAGCTCTTTGGATTTCTCTTTTTCCTGAATTTAACAAATCTCTCTCATCTCTAAATTATTAAATCATGTCTTTACTTAAATACTTCATATGGAACTAAAAGGTGGCTTTGGACTGTCATAAAAACTTCCCAAATAAGTAAGTTCTCCGTATTCTCTTTGTTGTCCAAAGAGCCATTCCACAAAAGTATATCCAGTCTTGTGGAGGGGCAGGTAAGCCTTTGCTGCCAAAGGTAACACTGGCTGCAGAACGGAGGGATATAGGATTAGAGTATTGATTTCTCTTTAAAACACCCTTCCATTCACAACGATGAACAACAACAGCGGCAGTTGGCAAGCCCCCTCATATTAATTTCAATCCCAGCAATATTTACATTTTGTTCTGAAATACAACTTGTGTTTCTGTGTACTTTGAAACAGATGCTGTGTCCAAAGAGTGGGTGAAGTGATGCTTACAAACATAATAGAGCTGTGCTTCATTTGTTCTAGTGCGCTGGGACAGATGGAACAGCACACTCCTGTGGTCTGAAGAGTACTGAAAATCTGGAGGTTCCAAATAGTGGCCCCACACTCGCTGATGGCTTTCTGTATTGCTTTGGTCTTTTCATACATGACATTTTCCTATGCTGGTGTCTAACATTAAATATGTAAATCAACATTGGGCTTTGTCACCCGAAGGCATCCAGTGCTGTGAGGTACCAGTCACTTTTATTACATCTTCAAGGAAACAAGGAAGAAAACCAGGGATTTAATTTTAGCATCATAACAGTGGTAACAAAAGCATTGGCTATGTATACAGTACTATATACCCATCAGTGCAAATCACGGTATGAAAGGCATTACATTCACTATACAACAACAAAACAAACACACACTGAAAAGTTGTAGGGAGGTATTCATAAAAATGGTGGGGTTTTGACCTAGGATGCCAAAACATACTTATGTATGACCAGTAACCCTGTAGGCTACATTTAAACTGATGATTCAGAGGTGAATGACTTCATATTTATTTAGATCATAGATATTTAGGCGCCTGGTTAAGTATTACACACAAGAAAAACAAACAAGAAATGCTATTTCATGGGCTTCTGCCTTCAGGCTTTATCAAGTCATTTCTTTAGCCAAACACACAACGCAGTGCTAAGACTATATATAATTACAATTAATAAACCAGTAATTGTTGTACACAAGGAAATTAATCACTAAATGGGCAAATGACAATACTTGCCTGTGGCAAAGACAACATTCTTTGACACCAGTCTATATTCCACGATGGAGAACTGAGGAAGCTCAATCCTCTCCACGCCAGTGACTGCGTTATCTCCACCTCTCCAGTAGAACTCTATGTCGTCAGTTGTGTAGCCATCTGCAGGGAAAGAAGGAGAGTAAATCAGAAATAACAGCAGACTCAAATGTAGCTTCAAACACAGTAGACACAGTTTGTCATTTGAGACAAGGAAAAGAATCAGAGCTGCTGGAGTGGTGTATGGTATTTTGTTCTGTATGCCTGTGGGAAGGTCTCCCAAAGAGCCATTAAAGTCTCCACAGGAATTTGAGGCAAAACACTCTGTTTTCCTTTTTTTTTTTGTTTTGGTATCACTCTCCTAAAATTCACATAAGGATTAATGGCCCCAATGAGACAGAAAATGCTACCCAACAATCTGCAAAATTGCAGATTAGCATGATTTAAGACATCATTCACATTTAACACTGAAACCAAGTGTA